ATCTTTTTTCTTTTTCTTTTTAGAAAAAAAACCTAAATGTAAACAAAGCCCATCAATAATTTGTCATTAGCTCAAATAATGTAGTGCCTAGTATAAGGGTTATAGTCTATATGTTAAACCCCAAAGGAGGTTGCGCCCATAGTTCGCAGTCGTAGTATCGGTCGCTGTAGTAGTGTAATGAATTTGGACAAATATCAATATAAATTGGTCAAATCAACCAGTTCATGGAGATATGTAACAGTATCAGACCTTTAAAAAAGGGTTACGAACAGACTGATATGAAGAACCATGATTGCGTCACGCAAGTCACATGCGAACGATGATGAACACTCTGCTTGCAAGTGTAGAGATTAAGTTGGATAAATGATTCTAAAATGTTATAGGATTTTGTAAGAGTATAAAGAATTTTGTAGAGAACTAGAAAAGAGTGGAGACTTTGTAAATATCTCAACAGCATTCTAGAGAGTAAATCAAAATCATTAGTTATAATGCATGGTAGCCATTCATTGACAAGGGATGCTTATAAATAGAAATTTGCAGTCAACAAGTGCTGTGAAATTTGCAGTCAACAAGTCCTGTGATTAGTGTAGATGTTAGAAGACAATGCGAGTGCCACCCTTATCCATTTTTTAAAATTATCTTCAGTAATATCTTTCATTTGGGTTACAAGATGAGTGTTTATAGGTTTCAAACATTTCAGATTTCAACCAAAACGAAAGTCTTACCGATTATAGGTTGATGTTGTTGTTCTAAAATAAATTTATATATATACAAATATTCACACTATTTAATCGTTTTTAATTCAATTCCAACTCAATAGTTTATCCTATAATATAATTGAAATTAAATTTCAATTACACTTTGAATTTCAAAATTTATCTAAAAAAGATTTCAATTACACTTTGAATTTCAAAATTTATCTAAAAATGTTTATTTGGAATTGAATTTGTAGAATTACAATTCGAATCGAATTTCAAAATTTATCTAAAAAGTTTATTTGGAATTGAATTTGTAGAATTACAATTCGAATCTAATTAAAATTCTGCACAACTAAACACATTCTTAAAAAGTTATAAAAATTTTGGAACAGGAAATTGTAATTTGTTTCATTTAATAGATTTTCCACAACTTTGCCATTTGATGCATCTCACACAAATGCATCAAATGGTTGTACCATCGCTTCCAATCATTTGATGAATTCTGTGGGATGCGTACTGGTGCAACTCATAATCTATTTAATAATTTTAATTTTCACAAAATAGGATGGTCCAAATAATAAAAAATTAATCAAAATTAAAGTGACTAAGATTTAACGATAATAGGTCAACAGTGCAGTAACAAAGTCAAATGGTACATTCATCATTTAACTAAAATAAGTCAGCATTTAAATGTGTGAGTTATGTTTGTGCTTTTCAAACATGCCCTGCAAATTAAAAAAGAAAAAGAAAAAAGAGAATAATAATAAAAAAAAGTGTCAAGTGGGAATGGGAGTTATTATAGCCCTAGCAAAGTGAAACCTATTCATTGCAATTTTTTCATGCTTTGCTCTGCTATCATTGTACCACAAATATTATCCATAATCCCAACTCCAATACCAGGACAGGTTTGCATTTCTCCTTTAATTCAGTGAGTTCATTTATTTTTCATTCAAGGTAGAAAGTTCATCACTTTCAGTAGAAAAGAAAATATACTTATATATATCATATTTCTTCCCATGTGGTAATTTTTTTATATATATTTTTAAAAAATTCTAAGCAAATAAAACTAATGACTTTAGAGATCAATTTTATTACTCTTGTTATTATTTTAAAGCTATGATAGTCTCACAATGAGATACATCTGACTAATTTTATACGAAGATGAGCTGATGTCAGCATGACCATCATGAAAGATATTAATAACATCACGAACAGGGATGGATATAGAAATTCATATAAGGGGGGCAAATTTATATAGAAGGGTTTATATATATATATATATATATATATATAATTTTAGTGAGGGCAATTTCAAAAATTTATGAGTATAAATGTAAAAAAAGTACAAATTTAGATGTGTCAAATGTAAATACAAAAAATTTCAGTTGGGACGGATGCCCCCACTGATCCCACCGTAGATCTGTGCCTGATCACAATGATGTCAGTTCACACTCACATAAGTCAGTTGGAATTGTTCGACTTTCGAACTCCAAATAAATATATATATTTTTAATATGACTACCATTAAAAAGATCATTTTTCTTAAAACTATGAATGAGGTCATTCAAATATAAAGGATGTCCAAACAAGCCCTTATAGCTATTCAAATATGATTACAAATCTGGAGTCTTACTGACAATATCGACTCTAACAAACTTCACTGGACCAAGCTTTCAACAACTTAACAATCTTTTTCAGTACAAAAGGATTCTAACTCATAAATGTCATCAAAGTTTACCTTCAAATGAGAAGGTTCATAGAGTGTGAGACCTCACTTCTACTTCTATTAACTCCTTTTTCTTATTCTTATTTGAATCATTACCATTCAAATAAAGTCATATTACCTTTCCACCAAATGGGCATCTTTTTTTTCCCGGGAATACACATTTTGTAAGGATAAAGTGGTTAGGTAGGTGGGTAGGGAGGTTAAGACTCATGACCCACACTTTTTATTGCTTTTTCTAGCGAATGACCATAAGGGTACTTCTCAACTATCAAAATGTTTCACTTATACAAGTATTAACAACAACCTTTCAAATATATATATATATATATATATATATATATATTAAGAACATCAAAAGAGTCTTAATTCACTTAACCATTTGCTAGTGAGAATTTCAACCATCTGAATCTCCCACCTTTGACAAGAGACATCAAACCCTCTAAGAAAGTGACATTTTTTGTTTTTGAAGTTAGGTGATTCACATTTAAAGTCATGATGATTTTTGGCAGAGTGAATTAATATTGATGAGTTCAATTTAATGTCAAATAACATGTGATTGATCCAATTTTGAGGTTCAAATTTCACCTAATGGTGAACACATATAACACACCATCCCCTAATTCCATAGTATTAGTGAAACTGATTTGGATTAGAAATTCCGCGTGTCTCAAAAATGGCAATCTAAAGGCTGTGTAGCCTTGTGATATCTTGTTAAAAGTTTGTTCGATATCAGATTCGGATGAAAAATGTGATGGGTATAAATGGGTTAGGTGTTAGTCTCACCTAACATCTTAAGTTTTTAGGTCGAATCGTGAGACACTTAACCTGTTACAACCGGCATTAGAGACAGACTCAATCCTTGATCCGGTATCATGCCAAGTGCCCAGCCCGAAAGCGTCTGAGTTTCCTCTCCGGATAGACAGGGTTGCCCCACCGCAATGAGGGTGTTGCGAACGGTGCAATGCTTCTTTAAAGTGGGACCCACGTATCCTTATTTTTATTTTTTATTTATTTAATTTTTACTTTGACAAAAAACATACTCACACATCATTTTTTTTTCTTACTCGAACCTCTCCCCTGCTCATTGACAGGGGAATGTTATATCAATGGACTACATAAATTAGGCTTCGAAGAGCTCCTAAGTAAAAGAAAAATTAGAACTAATGTCATAATAATGATGCAACTGCGTACTAATTATGTTGTTAATCTAAATCACATCACATAATATCACATAGGTTAGTACCTCAAACAATGAAACTAGGTTTGACAATTCGATCAACACATTCAACATCCAATTAGCTAAAATCCCAACAATCTTTGAATGACATATTAACTAGTCTCAACAGTCAAATTCGGTTGGTTCAATGAAAGATAAAGTTGGAAAAAAGTTTGTTCACTCAACAACAAACACAACTTAATGATGAACAAGAAGTAACAATTTGAATAGAAGGAAATTAAACAACTTGATTACTACTAAATTTACTTGCATAATACTCGCACCTAATCTTGGAGAAAATTACCCATATTAACTGCCATATATTATTTTTTATCTCCTAAATGACCCCATAAGTCCCCATTTCAGGATCACTATGGCCCTCAATCTACCTGATTTTATTTTATTATTATTATTATATATAATTTTTTCAGACTTCCCAAACACTAGACTTGGTAAATTATTGTAACATGTTGAATTTCATGATAGTAATTAACATGTTCACTATTATGACAGAATTTCATTGTAACATGCCATTTTTATACTGATTGAATTTGGATATGGCAATGATTCATCAAATTTAAAACAAGTAGAATACGAATAATGCAAAAAAATCCTAAAAAAAATATATATAATGACCCGACAATATTTACATCCTCATGAATATCAAATCACATATGGTTGGGTATATTTTTTATTACCAAATTAGAAATGATGGGTATACTTATTCTTTAATTTATAATTAAAGAGGTTGTATGCATATGTAATTGGTCCACGTTAGTGATGAGGATAGTTTATATACTCACTGGTGAGTAGCTAGGTTATGTACGCCCCCTTATTATTAATGTAGACCAATAAAAAATAGGCATGTCTTCTTGCATTACTAAATCCGAAATGATATATGTACTTAAAATAGACATATCTTCTTGCATTAATAAATCAGAGATGATACATGTACTTATCATCTTTGATTTGGTAAGTGAATATGTATCGAGCCAAAAAGTATTAAATATTCTGATACGGTAGGTCTTCCCGTCTCTTGAATGTGGTGGGCCCACCAGTACAACCAGCGGTTGTCACGCCCATTGATACAATACCCGAATGATCATCTCTGATTTGACAATTATAAATGACATAATCATTTTTTATTAGTTGACGGTTATATATTGTCATTTGTTTATTTTATATCCACTTTATCTGGAATGAAATCACAAATGTAAAGTTTAGAATTAGATTAAATTATAGTACCAAAGTAGAAATACCCAGCTAAGCACTATTTGTTACTGTAATTCAAATGTGAAAACGACCTCGTTTGACTTAAATTCTCTTTACAGTTTCAGTCTCTTCACCCTTTAAAAAGAGCGAGAAAGCAAACTACTCAAAGCGTCAGAGACAGCACAGGGTCCATAAAGCAACACTGGCAAACGCCACCGACCACCGCCATATTACGCCGCCGATGTTGCCGGACATACCGGCTGCGCCACCTCCCCAACCCTAACACCCATAATCCTACACACACACACAAATACACACACTACACTCACAATGGCACTCCCCAAACACTCCGCGTCGACTCGCGACCTCAAACACCGAGTCCTCACCTGCCTCCACAAGCTCTCCGACCGCGACACCCACTCCGCCGCCGCCAACGAGCTCGAGTCCATCGCCAAGACACTGACACACGATTCCATTCCGCCGTTCATCTCCTCCATCTCCGCCACCGACGCCGCCGACAAGTCCCCCGTCCGCAAGCAGTGCGTCCGCCTCATCTCTCTCCTCTCCCAAACCCATGGCAACGCTCTCTCCCCTTACCTCTCCAAAATCCTCTCCGCCGTCGTCCGACGCCTCCGGGACCCAGACTCCGCCGTCCGCTCCGCCTGCGTCGCCGCCACTGCCGCCATCTCCTCCCACATCACCAAACCTCCCTTCACGTCCATCGTAAAGCCGCTGATCGACTCTCTCGTCACTGAACAGGACCATAATTCGCAGATCGGTGCCGCGCTGTGCCTCGCGTCGGCGATTGACGCCTCACCGGATCCGGAACCATTGTACTTGAAGAAGCTGTTGCCGAGGCTCGAGAAGCTGTTGAAAGCGGAGAATTTTAAGGCGAAGCCGGCGCTGTTGACGCTCATCGGCAGTGTGATCGAAGCTGGTGGCGCTTCGAGTCATCAAGCATTGGGGAATTTGGTGCCGTGTTTGGTTGGGTTTATCAGCAGTGAGGATTGGGCGGCGAGGAAGGCAGCGGCGGAGGCGATGATTAAGCTGGCAGCGGGGGAGGGGGATATGTTGTCAGAGTTCAAAATAGCTTGCTTGAAAATTTTTGAGGCAAAAAGATTTGATAAGGTTTGAATTCAATTCAATTCATTTGCATTTCTGTAGTTATATTAATCATGTGATTGTTGAAATATATATATATATATATATATATAGATATATATGAAATGTGGATTGAGTTTGTATTGATTCTGTGTAGGTGAAGGCTGTTAGGGAGACTATGAATCAAATGGTGGAAGCTTGGAAGGAGATCCCTGAGGCTTCAGATGAGGTTTCAGCACCTCATGAATCACAGTCTTCTTGCAAAGGTATAAGATCTATATGCTCATTTTTCATGGATGATCTTCTTGCCAATAAACAAACATTGGGTTACTTACAGACTTAGATGGGTTGATCTAGTTAATCAAAATGTTTTTATCATCATCATCAACAACGACATCGACCTTGCCTTTATTCCATATGAATCAAAATGTTACTATATAATTGCAAAAATATAATGTTATCAAACATACATTGAGATTATGCAACATTAACATCTATACTGGTTGGAGATTTTATGTTTATAATTGAGATTCTGTTTTTTTCCCTTTTGATTAATTTTATTGATACATTTGAAGCTTCAGTCATATATATTCGGTTGCTTCTCCTCTTTATGTTCTCATTTGACCTCTTTTTTCAATCGATTATTTTGACATCTTATCTTTGTATGGTTCATTCTTTTCTAATTTGTAATGAGCGTGTAGATTTGTGGCAGATATGTTATTTTGATTGATAATGATTAAACCTATAATCTGTTGTTTACTTCAATTAATTTTTTCCTTCTAATAGTACTTAACTTGTTTAGTGTTATAATTAAACTTGAAGGTTCTTGATTAGCTTATATATATATATTCTGGAATATTTTGGAATCCTTTTGTTTATGCCTAAAGCATTTTCTATTTGGTATGATTTTTGTGGACAGAGGATGCTAGTGATGGGCGCTATGCACCTGGCTCCAAAACTTCCTGCACTGTTACTTCTGCTGCTCCTCAAATGAGGAAGACAAACATGGCAGCTAATAGATCTGCTTTACCTGGCGGTTCAATCACAACAACTGCGAGGAAAAGAGTTCCTTCAGATAATAATGAAAAGAAAACAGGTCCAGCAATGTTCCGAAAGCTGGACCGGAAGAAGCCTACTGATTGGAAAATTGACATTGCCTCTTGTCATGCTCCCTCTGCAGTGGCTTGTATGGATGATCCTGAAATTAGGGATGAGAAAGTTATGGAGAAGGGTGAGAAGACGAGAAACAGGATTATGAAGCCAGAAACAAAACGGGCTCTCTTCAACAAGAATGATGATGACAGGACAGACAAGTGTGGTGGCTTCAAAGCTGGATCCCGTGTGGTTCCATGTCATGATGAGAATTCAGAATCTACTGTTGTAGTTGGTAATTTTACTGAAGATATTTATAGGAACCAGAAAGAAAATGAGGTTCTTTCTTCGATCCGCAAGCAGCTTGTTCAAATTGAAGATCGGCAGTCCAGTTTATTGGATGTCCTTCAGGTATTTTCCTTACACATGATCAGTGGCTCCCTTTGTGCATCTTAAGAATGTATTTTTTTTTTTCCAGGTAAATAATCATGCACCCATCCACAAATGCCCACTATGAGACTCAAACCCCTCACCTCCCCTTTGAAAGAGGAGAGGTTATACCAGTTGTGCTAATGGCCCATTGGGGCATCTTAACAAATTTTTTTATTTTTCTTTCTTTTTTTATTATTTTTTTTTTTTTTGATAAGTGCATCTTGAGAATTCTTGATAATACACCATGAACAAAAAACTCAAAAAATATTAAAGAAAATTTTGAATCACAAACTTTTAAAAGCTTTGCCTAATAATTTTGGAGCATATTAATCCTCACACAAATATAAATTTATGAACATAAAAATAGTTAATTAAATAAACCTAACTATGATAGCATGTTATCATTTGTCTATAACTATACATTGCCTAGAAATCATCAACTATATATTAAAAGCCTATAACACGAGGAAAGAATGAAAAATGAGTACTAAAATTTGTGTAGATAAGAGACTTATTCTTATTATTATTTGTAATGAATCTCATTATCGAAAAACTAATAATAAAAAGTTCAGCATTTTCTCCACTAAAGACCTTTTGACGTTAATCAGAATGAGTAACAAAAACATGATCAGCTATTATTGACGAATTTCACATCTGAAACCTGAATTATTCTTATTCGCAGCTTTGTCATAATGGAACCCGAGTCCATCCTGTTACAGTTCAGTAATTTGTGAATTAGTATTCAATATCTTGAATGTGTCTTTCTGAAATCCTGTTGGAAAATTCTTGACTCAGAAGTATCCCCCTCCATCGGTAAGCAATCATTTAACTTTCTTACTTGCAACTTCTTCTTTCCCAACGAACCTAATAACTCTCTCTCTCTCCCATGTGAAGCTAAATAAGCTCCAAATGTAAGTATGTCTCTATGTTCAACAATGCTGCCCAAGGATGGTTCTTAAGTAGAGTAGAACATATCAGATGCAACGACATTCCTTTTTCTTGCCTGCTTTTTTTGATATATTATTATTTTCTGCTTGGCATTTGTATGATACATAGTTTTCAAGGTATTTGTTAGCTTTTGTTGATTAGTTTTTTTAAAGTTTTTTCATGTGTGTTGATTAGTTTTCAAGGTGTTTATATGAGTGTTGGTACTCGTGGCTCTTTTTGCTGATTTAATTACTTTTATAAGCCTTTTTCACACATGTTGCTCCTATTTTTTGATTTTAGAAATTCATTGGGAGCTCGCAGAATGAGATGCGTTCCTTGGAGACACGCGTGCATGGTCTAGAGCTAGCACTGGATGATATCTCATTTGACTTGGCCACATCAAAAGGAAGGATGTTGAATACTGACTCAGAAAGAACCACATGTTGCAAGCTACCCGGTGCAGAATTTTTGAGTTCCAGGTTCTGGAGGAAAACAGATGGAAGAAATTCGACCTCCTCACGGTTCTTGTCTTCCGGTGGCACCCCATCAGTGGCTCCAATACGTAACGTGGCCAATAAGAATGGCATTCCTGAAACATTTAAGGTGGAGAATAAAAAATATCGGATCCATGGTGGTGGTGGCGGTTTTATTGTGAATCCTTTAGCTGAGATTCACAGTGATTCCCAGGGGATTGTGGAGGTTTCCTCCGGTAGAGGTTCTAAGAATGTTCAATAACGTGTCGTCAGCACATCATTGGCCAGTTTTATAACCAGGTATGTATCGTAAGTTCCATTCTAGATCTCAATTTCCATCGTGCATCCCCATCTTGATGTAGTTTATTATCTAACAACTCAGCAGACAGCAAACTCGTTATATGAAGTTCACCAAAAAAAATCATAAAAAACCAAAATCACTTGGATTGCAGTCTTGATCAAAACCCGAAGTTTGGTAAAATGACATCTTCTGAAAAATGTGTTGCTTTTTTAAGCAGAAAGACTTGGAAGTTAATAAGTTTCCTCAAATTGAACAGTTGTCGCAGACTTTAGACCCTTCTATTAACGTTCTGGTTTTTGTTGTCTTAAACATTATCAGATAAGCTGCATAGACTGAATCGAAGTTCAAGTTCTCGCTTGCTTCAGTTGGAAAGGAAGAGAATCAATCTATCGAAGTCTGAGCTTGATCGTGGCGTACATAGCAGCAGCAGTTCTTTTTAATGTCATCTGCTGAATTAGGGTTTGCAGATTTAGCCTAGACACAATTCACCCAATACCCACAATCTAAAGTCATCATCCCAATCTCCAGATTCTTATTAAAAAGGGTTTTAAAGTAAAAATATTGAAAACTACAAGAAGAGAAGATACTGGTATTGATTGATGTTGAAGGGTGGATATGCATAGAGAAAAAAGTGATTTTTATTTTTGGGTGGTATTCCCTCTAATTTTTTGTTGTTGGCCTTATTATTTGGTTGATGTGAAATGATGCAAAAAGGTTTGTTGATGGTGTAATGAGGTTAAAAATTTAGGTCCCATGTTGTGAAAGCCACAGTGCATTATCAAACTTTGTTACTAAAAGAGTGAATCAATGTTGGTGTGTCTGGGACACACAAATCATCCCCTTTTGCTTTATATATTGTATAAAATTATATTTGTTTGCTTGTCTTTTGTACGTGTGTGGAGTGCCTGTGTATATATAACATAAAGTGTCATGAGTACGAGGTATACATATCACCAATTATTAAATAAATGGTCTTTTCTCAACTTGACCTATTTTTTTGTATGTTTTTTTTTCTTTTCGTTTTTCCTTTGTCAAATTTTTGTAAACTTGTGTCGCATTGCGTACGATCTTGCTTTGCGTACAATTTAGTTCGTTCTTGGTTTAACTTTGTGATTTATATTTTGTTTCTTGAACTTTGCTCCTCTTTGTTTCTTAGAATCATATCATATGGAGTATTTTTAATGTATTTGTCATTGAAGACAAAGTTTTAGTTATAGCATTAAACCTTAAGTCACATAATTATTCTCAACAAGTGTTGTTCACATGTTTTACGCAGTTCTGATTTAAATTTTTATTATTTATGACTTAATTTTGTCGCTCTCATGTTTTCGTTCTCGAATTTACTTCTGCCCCGTTTTTTCTGACTCAAATTAAACTTACTGAAAAAAAATATAGAAGCATTACTAATTTAAATTATTTACTAATTTATATTTTAATGTTGATGAGATAACATTAAATTATTTATTATTTTGACTTTTGATGTATATAATAAATATGAATTAAAAAAAGAAAAATTGATTGATTTGATTTTTTAGGTACAAGATAAGTAGTGAAAAAGGATAATCAATCCAACAATTGGATTTTGACAAAATAGATATCTTACTGGAAAAATACAATAAACAAGAAAACGATATTTGATTTGAAACATGCATGATAATGAGAAGGGACATCCAATAAGACAATTGGATTATCAATATATGGTTAGAAATTGGTGGGTATAAAAGGACAATTGGATTATCATTATATGTTTAGTAATTGGTGGGTATAAAACCCACTCTTACACCATGTGTGTGTATATATATATATATGAACGCACTTATGGTATTATTAGTTGGCCAATCAATAAAAGTTAGATCAACGGTAATTGTTGGCTTTTTGGAGTTAGTAGAGCAATTATTGTTTAGGTAGCATTAGAAATGCAATCAAATCACGAGGCATGACCGACAACACAATTCATTATAATCATTTCTAACAATGCATACCAAACTCGTGAATATATATATATATATATATCGGAAAAGAAAAAAAATATTTTATCGGAGCCTAAATGTCTGCAGTCTTACTTTTTTTATATAAGGAGATCAATTTTTTCTTCAAACTCGTGAAATTTAAGTAATAGAATAGTTTTATGAATATAACACATTCATATGAAACAGGTGTTATGAAAAGTTAACAGTGACCTTACTAAAAAGGAAATAGTACTTTTAAAAAAAATTTGTTGAAAAGTAAATTCAAAAGAAAAGAAAAGTAAAAAAAAACAAAAAAAAAAAAATTAGTACATGCCGACAATAATAGAGACAAGATTAGTCACGGGCATGCCGACAATGATCACCATTTAAAGTCATCAATGATTTCTTAGCTTTAGATAAGTTCCAATTCTTTAGTGAAAATTAAGTTATGATCAAATTGCTACTTGTACCAGAAATTTCACCTAGGAATGAAAATTAATTACTATAGAAATCATATGAAATGTTCAGTCAATATTACCTAATCAACTTGAGCTTGATTAAATTTTTACAAGCTTAGGTTAGAAGCAGACCCACGCTTCGAGAGCGGAAGCGCGTTCGGGGCATAACAACAACACCTATTGAGAATGATTGTGTGACTTAGGACCCGTCTATCTCCAAACAGACTTGGATAGTCCCAAAACAGGCCCATATCGAAACAAATTAAAGATTTAGTTTCTTACATAGGCCCAAACAAGCCTTCCCAAGCATAGGCCCAAAACGCTACCCATTCTCATTTCAATTATAAGACCTTTGGAGCCATGATGACTCACTTTTTTTTTTCTTTTTTTTTTTTTAGTGTGGTACTCACGTACTCATGTTTCTACTGAGGTTTGAACCCATGATTTTCTTTTAAGAAGTAAGAGCTTAGTATCGCTGAGTCATTGGCCCGTTGGTCTCACTTCTTTTATGAAATTACCTAACCTAAATTCAATCTCTAAAGCAAGGGTCAAATGATCATACAGATTGCTTGATTAGTGGTTTTAAAAGACGAATTTGGATCCTCTCACGTGTTGTTTCATCTAGTGGTCTGTCTTGCACCATTACATTGCTTATCCAATAATTTTACATTATTTGTGCACAAATTTTACATCACTTATACAATAACTACGTAACATTATTTCGTTTGTCGTAAGACATCTCAACTGCAGCATCTTCTTCCAGCTCACGAGGAGTGTATACTAACCATGATGGATTGAATCCATTGAACTTTTGGAAGTTTGCAATTGTTTGCAATCAGCTGCCCTAAGCCTCGAAGAGATTAGGAAATCCCCAAATATCTAATAGGTAGGTAGCCTCTCTCAAATCCCAGCAAGTGTTGGATTTGTAGAGCAGTTGAAGGATCTGTTTCTGAAGAAAAATAGGAACTTTTTGGATTTGTAGATGGTTAGGCCTAAAACAGAAAAAGCTTGAGGCAATTATTTTCACAATAATAGTATGAAGTAATAACGTTTAGTCAAGGACAATGCTATTCCGACCTAATAATCTATCCCAACAGTCTACTAGGGAATTTCTTATCCATTGAATGCATTGCATAACATCAAAGTTTTGACCTTATTCAATGTATCCAAGGGATAGGATTCTCTCTGTTAGACTTCTCGACTAGACTATTAGGCCTAAATGTTGAGCTTTTTCCTTACATCCCGTAATATCAACTATCTTAAGCATATTTATTATATAAACTACTAAAACACATGTGAGATGCATGTACAAGAGCGGAAGTGTGTGTATAACTGTAAATTAAAAAAAATTGTAAAGGATATTAAATATATATAACATATTATATATATAAATAATATTATAGAAACATATTATTAATTGAAATAAATAACATTCTAAAATTTAAAATAAATTATAAAAATTAAATATAAAAATAATTTTGTATATAGAATTCTTAGTTTAGGATTTTATTGGTATATTTTGATATAGAATTATTGTTATGTTTTTATTGAAATAAATTATATATTTCCTTCTCTAATTATATTTTATTTTATTGAATTAAATAAATAATTTTTTTTATATCATATATTTTCTTCTCTATTTAGACTTCCTTTTATTTAATTTCAGTAATCCAGTTTTTAAATATTATACATTTGATAATCTAATTAGATTTCCTACTACTATATTATCTTATTATTACTATTTCCTACTACTATATTATTAAATAATTTTTTTAATATTATATATTTCCTACTTCTATATTATTAAATAATTTTTTTAATATTATATATTTCCTTTTTAAATTAGATTTTCATTTATTGAATTTCAATATTTCCTAGTACTATATTATTATTAGTAGTATTTCATTCTCTAAATAGACTTCCTTTTGCTGAATTAAATAAATAAGTTTTTTAATATTATGTTTTTTTTACTAAGTCCCTACTTTTCAAAGAGAGGTCAAGAATTCAAGCCTCCGTGAAGTCATGTGTGTATGAGTACCCAACTAGGAAAAATATATATATATATATTATGTATTTTTTAATATTATATATTTTCTTCTCTAATTAGATTTTATTTTATTGAATTTTAGTATTTCCTACTACTATGTTATTATTATTAGTATTTCCTACTATTATATTATTAAATAAATTAATGTAATTAAATACTGAAATTCAATTATTAATATATTCTGATATAGAATTATTGTTATGTATTTATTAGATTTTATAATGGTAAAATTTGACCTAAATTCTGTCAAACAAGTACAGATTATACACATTATAAGATAGTAACAAGCAATAAAATTGCACTAACGCATTGTCAAGCCAACCAATTTCCTTCAAAGGTCACATTACGCACCACCCATCAAGCTGATCTAGCTATATTCTTGTTTCATGTTCTGTTCTCCGAAACAAATCCAAACTTGACCCTGTCATGTTGATTTCTAAACGAGAATAAAAATGTATTGCATCTGCCAAATCAAAATACATAGAGCTCCATAATTTTAGAGATGTTCACTTGAACTTGGTGTATCTATCATTTATAACCCTAGATGAAACATACACAGACGCATAATAATTCAAAATATCAAGAATACAAAAGCACGATTCGAAAACAGCAGCAAAAACTCATTACAGGTTTCAATCGCTAGACCCTTCTTCCTTGTCAATTTTCTGCAGAAAAATGAGAACACGTCAAGCGATCAGAGAGCTTTTTTTGTCAACAATAACATAAGAGCGAGGACAACATAATGTTTATTTCATGAAGAAAGAAATTCAACCACTTTAAGGCTAAAAAAGCAAGCCAGAAATTTGTTAAAACCAATAAATGCAAAATCACCAGACTCGAGGATGTACTAAAACAACCATATAGAAAAGCAATTACCAGCAACAGCTCACCAATTTCAACCATGAAATATATTTCTGATGCTTGACACCAGTTTACACACAATATTTGCCTTTCCCCTCTCCTTTATTTTCAATAATATTGCTGTAAGGGCATTGAGGAATATTTAGCGCCAGTTAACAAGGGCCAATACCCAATGTAGTCCCCGTTAATTGAATGTACTAGGATATATAGACTAGACATTTGACATTATTTGAATAATGTGGTCCAAGCATTTTAACAATAAGCACTCTGATAAAATGCTCAAAATAAGAAACGAGATGAGAAACTAAGTTGATCGTTGCCAAAAATCTCTAGAAATAAATAGGGCTACATAAAAATGAGTTGACAAACATAAAACACTAGATGGACTTTGTCAAATATTATGAAAACTCGTTTAGGCCAACAACAGTCCAAAAACAGACGTCCTTCCAAGAAATAAAGAGAAGTATGACAGAAGATATAAACAATTGGGATTTCGATGATACAAGACATTTTATATTCGCATAAAGATAATTCAGAAGAAATCTGATTTCTTTTCCTCACTCGCTAAAAATAAAGAACATAACAAAATCAGAACACACTACAAAGTATTTGATGCTCCTGAACTAATAATTCATGTCAAATTTTCTAAGCAACAAACAGCACTACCCAAGATTTTTGAAAAGCAAACAAGAAGCTCCGAGCAACCAGCACTGACAGACAAACTGTGAACAGCAACAAATAAGGCCTTGGGTCCCCTTGTACTAGGTTTAAAAAATAATAATAATAATAAAAAGACAAAATAAAAAACAGCAACCGAATATGCTATGAAAACATATTCCAGCCCTTTCGAATGGATTTCCACACTCCCACCCCAACCGAGGAATTCACCTCCTTAAAGCTCCACCAGCCCCTACCCTCTCCAATTTTCAACTGCTATGGTCGTCCTCAACAATCTATTCCTTTCCATCCCAAACCGCCAAGGTCACTTTCCCATCAAGGCTTTATTGAACGAATCAAACTTCCAAATACCCAAATCCCCAATTGGAGAGGGCTACCCACACACCTTCTCCCAATTCACCAACGGAAATTTAAATTCATCTCCCAACCCACCCCGTAAAAATTTCCTTTGCAAGTTCTCTATCCTCTCTTTAATACTGAAGAAGGAATATGAGACAATAAAAGGAAAAAGGTTGGAAGGTTCAAAAAGTACTCTTGATATTATGTGAACACCTTTTGAACAATGTTGCTTCTTTAAGCCTGCAAGTATCTTTTCAAACCACTCCACAACTAGATCCTATATGGACACCATCCTCGATGGAGCTCCCAAAGGCAAACCCAGATAAGCCACCGAAAAGGTCCTAACACCACATTCCAAAATACTAGCCAAGGAAGCAGCATCACTGTCCTCCACAACGGCACTAGCTCACTCTTCCTGATTAAGCCTGGAAACAGCTGAAAGCACACCAGCATAACCTCAAATAACTCAGCTAGTCCTCCAATGCATCACAAAAGACAACGGTGTCATCGACAAAAAGAAGGTGAGAGACCTCCAACTAATTTGAACTGCTTCTACCCACCTAGAGCCTCCACCCTTCCCATCAACCTGCTGAGAGACTCCATCACTATAATAAACAGAAATAGAGACATGGGATCACCCTGCCTCAACCCTCAAGCGCTACTAAAGAAGCCTGTTAGATCGATTCACCAAAACTTAAAAATTCATCGTGGATATGCAGAAAAGAATCCACCTCCTCCATCTCTCAACGAATCACATCCTTCCAAAAATATAAACCAAAAACTTTCAATTCACATGATCATATGCTTTCTCTATATCCAGCTTACACAATCCCCCCGGCACCCCACTTCGGATTCTGGAGTCAACACACTCATTAGCAATCAACACCGTATCAAATTCGGCGCCCGCCTACAAAGACATTTCGAGACTCCTAGATCACACCATCAATAAACTTTCTCAATCTCAAAGCTAGGGTTTTGGTAATTAACTTACATACCCACCAAGCTAATGGGTCTGAAATCATTGGCTTCTATGGTTCCACCTTTTTTTTCGGAATTAAACAATAAATGAGACATTAATGCTCTTCTCGAACTGATCATACTCATGGAAAAAAAACAAATATTGACCCTCACCACTTTCCTAACCACCTCCCAGTTCTGTAGAAAGAAGGCCATGGTGAAGCCATTTTGACCCGGAGCCTTATCCCCATTCCAGCTCTTCAAAGCCATTTCCACTTCGTCTTCAGCAAACGGCCTCTCCAACCACTCTTTATCTTCCATATACTATCAAACCCCACACTATTAACAATGGTCTCTAATTGTAGATTTCCAGATGCATCTACCAATAGAACAACACAATACCTTTTCTAATATCCTCCTTACTCAATATTTCACCATCAATGCAAATTTTGCTAATATGGTTGTCCCTCCTATGAGCATTGGCCAACCAATGAAAGAATTTCATATTCCTTTCCCCTTGCTTAAGCCACAAAATTGTAGATTTCCATCTCCAGGACGCTATGTCCAACCCTGCAATCTCACCAATCTCTGCCTTGCACTCCTCCCTCCTACACTTCTCCACATCATCTAACTCCACCACTCCTTCTTTGCGGTCCAACTCTCAGATCTCCACCATAAATCTGTCCTTCTGCCATTCCAGATTGCCAAATACCTCCCAACTTCACTTCTTGATATCCCTCATTCAACATACGGAGCATGTTGACTAAAATAAAACTGGAATTTCCACTGACATCATATCCATCCCACCAAAGCTTTACCCTATCCTTGAATTCATCAGCTCAAAGCCACATATTCTCAAATTTGAATGGAGACTTCCCTTTTCTCAACCCTCCATAAATCTTTCCTTCTGCCATTCCAGATTGCCAAACACCTCCCAACTTCACTTCTTGATATCCCACTTTCAATATACAGAGCATGTTGACTAAAATAAAACTGGAATTTCCCCTGACATCATATCCATCCTTCCAAAGCTTTACCCCATCCTTGAATTCATCAGCTTGAAGCCACATATTCTCACATTTGAATGGAGACTTTCCTTTTCTCAACCCTGCACAATCTAGTAACACTGAAACGTGCTTTGACACTGGTCTAGCCATCGCCACCTGCGCAACATCCGGGAATCTCTCTCCCTAATCCCCTGATACCAAGAATCTGTCCAAGCGGTATGGTCCTGTCTACCACTAGAACATGTGATAGTAGCACCCCCCAGGGGTAAATTAATCAAGTGCTGAGCATCAATGAACTCAGAAAACTCTTTCATAGCTACAGTCCACCCACCGCCACACCCACACCCCACTCAAAGTTCTACTTTCTAGGAGCATACACAAGCTCCTCCTACAAGGATCCCCTCTCCACATCTTAAACAATTCCATACACCCCAAAAAGCACCCAATAAGAGCCATAATCCTCTCAATGAAACAAGGCAAGAGACTGTAAATCTCCCCTTATTAACATCAACCTTAGATAGCCATAGTTTATCCCACATGATAAAAAATGCCCAATGCAGAACCCTTGGCATCAACGGCCAGCCACTCAACAAAATCACCACCCCATAGACTCCTAAAAATCCCATCCGAGGAAGGAACCAATTTGCACTCTTGCAAGCATACCACCTGAGCACCACATTTTCGCAAGGTCAACTTCACCACCTTCCTCTTGTTGGGGTCATTTAGACCCTGTACATTCCGCAACATAATAAGGAGCTTCATATGTGACAAAAGCACTCCCCTCCCTGTTGCTTCCTCCTCTACCTCTCCCCAACGGCGAAGCCACATGTTACCAGTGGGGGCAAAAGCACTCCCCTCCCTGTTGCTTCCTCCTCTACCTCTCCCCAATGGCAAAGCCACATGTTGACCAGTGGGGGCAGCTGACCCCAAGCAACTTCTTTATATTTTAATTATCTACATGCATTTTTCTAATAATCGTAAACATGTCCCCTCTCAAAATTGCAAAAGAACCTCTTTGGTCTTCCTTTTTTATAGCCTGTGTTTATTTTTGGTAATACTTTTTTCTGAACTAGACTTGGGATAATTTTTGTGTTGTAATTTTGTTCTATATGATCAATTCTCAAAATCTTACCAAGTCACAACTACTATGAAAAGTATATGATGAACACTAAAACAATCATCCCAAAATTTTCTAGGGCATGCTAATCAACATTTACACATCCAAATGTTAGATTTTACAAACTGAATACTTAATTGTGATGTTATAATACTTAACCTTCAAGTTCTAACAACCAAATGAGTCACAATCTAAATATGATTTCACAAATTGAAAAATGCTAGATTGACAAGTTGAATGCTTAATCATGACATCATAAATGCGTACATATTGAGAAAACATATTCAATGGCATTGATGATGAATTTATCAAGGTTAGATTTCAAAACATGAGATTTAGTCAAGAATAATTACAAATTTATTGAATGTATCAATGAGTATTTAAGTTTTTGTACTAATTATTTTGGTTTAAAAAAAAAAAAAAAAAATTATTATATTGTCTTTCAAGGTTACTGCCCCCACTAGAGTAAATCCTGGTTCCACCACTGCCCCTCTCCCTTTCAATCCCACTCCTAATTTCAAAGTTCACATACAAAATTAAGTTTCAAAGCTCCCTCTCACCCCACCTTGTTGTGCTCTTCTTCCCTCTCATGCCTCTCCTAGAAATTTAAAGTTTTCCACTTATTTTCAATAGATTGGAACAGATAGTTGGCATGTTCTTCACTCCCTTCATAAGACCGCCTCAAGTTTCTGCTCACTTCCCCAATATTCTTCATCACCTAATTCTCAGTTCTATCATCTACACGCTACATAATCAAGCTTTCTCCACGCCTCCATGCCCCATAATCACCAACGGTCCCACTGCAACACTATCCACTTCTTCCCTGCATACAGCTGATGCATTTTCTTCAAAAGGAACTACTGCCAGTCCCCATTGTTGTTACATGCTGACTTATCCACTTTCATTCAGTAGGAATACTATACTCATCATTAAAAGAAGAATCCCCGTCCATTGTCACAGCTCCTCCTCCCAGCTTCCCCAAGTCCCTCATTTCACCATGTAATTCCAATTCTGCCATTAGCACCAAAGCAGATTCCTTCTTCAATTTCAGTTGAACTACTTTGCCTAAACATAAAGTAATAGCATCCTCCTCCTCTTGAATTTTCAACACAATAATTCATTTTGATACTATCTCATGTCGCAAGCAGCCTTCCTTCCTAATCACCACATTAATATCATTCCTAACATCACCTAACCCAACTTCTTGCATCCAACTCCCATTCCCTGCATCCAGGAGCATCTACCATTGACCTGTGTCTCTCTCAGATTCCCCTAGAAGCCCCAGAATAGGAGAGGAGAAGGAATGTGTGAGGCTCGGTTTGAAAACAGGTATACTAACCTCTTATAAAAAATAAAAATAAATAAAAAAACAGGTATACTAACCTCAATATTGGGCTTAGAATTGGAATTAGACCTCACCGTTTTAAGTATTTTCTGTCCCTCTGGGTCAGGCTCTGTAGGCCACTTACCTTTCTCAGCCCAACTCCACCTTCTTTGTTGATCGGCCATTGATGCATCCCATCCCATTCGAGCCCATTTTGTTTGTAAATTAAAATTAGTAGCATATAGTAAACACCCCTTCTCCCCCGAAATGTTATTTGGTTAACCTGATCCAGCCCATTTCTCTCTTCCTCAAATTATTATGATTAGGTGGAAATCCCAAAAATTGCACTTCTCTAGCAATATGAATCCATTTTCTACTATATTTCACATATGGGACATCTGTAAGCCAGTTCGGGTATGACCAGTTCCCAACCTAACTAGTTAGACATCCAAGAGTCTGTATACTTCCAATTAAGTATTATTCGTTGACCTCAATTCAACAAAAGTTTTGACACTTCAATGGGGTTGGCTACACAGAATTGTCCTGTCGAGATGACACTATGTGAATAGTTCATTCATATCTTCAAAATTTTTTTCTTATTGTCTAATCTCTTAACCACCTATTCTATTCACTACTACATGAATTTTTTTTCCTTCTTCCACTATTTTTTTTTTACCCTTTCCCTTTTGCTGCTTAATCATGTGCATAGAGCTCCTAAAAATCTGGAGGTGAAGAAAAACAAGAAAGGAAATGACAATTACGGAACGAAAAGTATGATTCACAGTAGTAAACGATGAATAAAAATAGATCTACACGTCTGAAATGAACCTGAAATGATGGAAATAACAATTACACAATCGATTGATACAAGACCCAAATAAAACCAAATTCAAATTGTAAACTCAGAGAGTTAGCAAAACAAATCTACCATCGATTACAAAAATATCACAAGAAAACACTATATAGGGTTTCGAGATACCAACATATGCATAAGTACATATATATAGAGAGAGAGAAGGGTTGTTGTTATGTTATGTTACCGATTGGGCGTTGTGCCAAGCTAGGCCTCTGTAGACATTAACAGAGAAGGTGGCGGTGAGATAAATGGTGGCGAAGCCGAGGCCAGCTGCGAACGCCTTGAATGCCCAATCCCCTGCTTTGCTCGCCACTCCCATCCTCTCCACTTACTTCCTTCTTCTCCTCTACTCTTGTTCCAAGTTTGTTACAGGGCAAAAGAAAAGATTAATTGAGTAGGGCTGCAACTGGGGAGGATTGGGCGCGTTTTTGAGAGAAAATTTTATGTATAAAGAATAGTACAATTAATGCATACTCCCAAAACTTTTGAACCACTAAGCTATGGTCGGTAGGGTGAGTTTGAAGGGGAAATGATAATAATAATTTTAATCCTCCATCATACTTGGTTGATTAAAAAATATATATATAATAATCATGTTTGAAAAAATAAAGGAAAAGAAAGGAAATAAAATTATTTTAAAAAATTTACTATTATACCATTTTCTATTTTAAAAGATAAATATATGTGTGTGTATATATAGAAAGAAAATTATTTTAGAAAATTTACTATTATACCATTTTCAATTTTAAAAAATAAGTGTGTGTGTGTGTATATTGTGTCTTCTATATATTTAACAGGCCATGAATGATGGGCAATAAGAAAAGAAAAAATAAAATTTAGGGCAAATCATTTCTGCCTTCCCAATCTCGCCGCCTCCATCTCTATTCTCGTTTTCAACTCTCTCTCTCACTCACTCTCTCTCTGCATTATAAGAATCAAAAGTTCAAAACCCATATATTTCAGTTTATCTATCAAAGCAAGAATCAAAAGTTTAAAACCCATATCGGCATATCATTTCAGATTGTTCAAAAAATCAAAACCCATATCTTTCAGTTTCCATCGCCGTTGTTCCAGTTCGGGTTCGCCGTCGCAAGCTTCATCTACTGTCCGCCATCTCACGCTCTCTCTGCAACTGCTAACTTGTATGTATCTGTAATTCTTGTTTTGCAAACTTGTGTAATCTTGAGGGTAAATTTGGCATCACCAAAGATACATCAAACTCTCCTTCCCTTTCCTTCTATTTCCTCCCATTTTGGGGAGGATAAGGAAGTTACTGTTTGAGCCTTGTGCTAACCTTCCAAAACCATCCCTTTCCTTTCCTTTCCTTTCCTTCCAACCATTTATGCCAAACACAAATTTTTAATCACCTTCCATCACCTTCCCTTTCCTTTCCTCCCTTTTCCATTGCACCAAACTGACCCTCAGATAAATTAAACACACTACCAAGTTAGCTACCAACACTTGTGATTAAAGTCTACTTATAAATATATATAATATTTTTGTGGTCGGGTTGGACTTCAGGTTTCATCCATATGAACTCAAGTCCAGCCCAAATTAAATTCGGACTCAAAATATATAACCTAGGCCCAAATCGAAATTAGAAAAACACTACCCAAGCCCACAAAATTTCGGGCTGGGCTCGGGTTATTTCGTATTGGGCCCGCTCGAGTTGCAGCCCTGATTGAGAGATAAAGGAAAGGAAAGGAAAGGAAAGTAAACAAGAGCGACTACAACTAAAATGCCTTCAAACATGTTGGGCATGAATCCTCTGATATGATTATCCCTGCGGTCCCTTGTTGTCCCCTGCCTTGTGGCCTTGGTTTGGCCACGTATTTCATCATAAAATAGCTCATCAGACCGCGTTTGACAATTACACCCAAATTTATAAGTGACATTTCACCACTATTTATAAGTAACATCATAGGAGTCTAAAAAATAACATCACCATTTGTAAGAAGGTAACATCACCAGTTAAAAAGCAAAGGTTGTTGACAGCTAAATACCTCATAATCCCCTTCAAATTCCTCTTTAAGTTAACATGTGACTATTTTTTTGGATGTTCTATTTTTTATAATAAAATTTAACTTAAAAATTATATAAATAATATGTTGAATTGAGTTAGATTTATGTGTGACTATTAGTTTTTCAACACTATGTGAATACATTTTTTTTATGGTGAAGGTGGTAAGCGTGGCAATTAATATTAAACTTTGCCAAAAAATTTCAAAGATATGTTAAATAATTTATACCTAAGTGTATGTTTTTTTAATATTTGAAAAAAAAAAAAAAAAAAAAAAAAAAAAAAAAAAAAAAGAAGAAGAAGAAGAAGAAGAAGAAAGATGCGGCTCTTTTTCATTATTTTTGGAAACATCAAATGTTTTGTGTTTTGTTTATTGTCTAAAGTTAATCTAAATGACTTTAATTTTGGTTTAAATTCTTTAAATTAACATGTTAAAGTGTTTTTAAAATACTTTAATTTCTAATAATAACATAAATGATATGTTGAATTGAGTTACGTTTATATGTGACATTACTTAGTCTGCATTATGTGCATACCTTATTTTGAAGATGGAGATGGTTTTCATTTTATGAGATATTTGGCTGTTAACAATTTTTATTTTAAATGGTGATGTTACTTTTTAGACTCATATGATGTTACTTATAAATGGTGGTGAAATTATCAAATGCGATCTCATGAGCTGTAATACCCCTAATTTCAAAAGGGATAAAAATGGAATTTAAATTTTATTTTTGTGCATTTTAAATTGATTTTGTATCTATATGCTTATGTGTCCAATTGTTTGTTTATTTTAATTCATTGTGTTATTTTTTTTAATTGTTTATTTATTTTAATTAAGGGTGTAATTCTTTATTTGTTTGTTTATTTTAATTAATTGTTTTATTTATTTTATGTGTTTTAAGTGATTCGTTACTTGCTTATTTGATTTAATTAATGGGTGTTATTAAATTAATTATTTATTAAGTATTTAATTTTTGAACAGGGTAATTATGTAATTCTCATTAACTGGGGTTTTAGATACGTTTTAGTTAGGGTTTTTGGAGCCGTCTCATAAGCATCTGATATGTATCTAAACTGGGTTACTTTGTGGGCCGACGAAGTTAGGGCTCTGTGGATTAGGGTTTTAATCTTGCAATTATAAATACCTCAGTATATGTTAAACCTAGGGTTACATATTGTCGTAGCTTTTACACGGAAAAGTCTGCCAAATAGAGAGAGTTACAGAGGGAGTTTTGGTGAGAACAGAGCAGTTTATGAGAATTTCGACTGGGGTTCCAAGGTTTAACCAAGGAGAAGGAAGGAGCAGATGTTCTAAGAGGTTAGACAAGTTTCAGTGGATGTCAGAAAAAAAACTGAGACCAACGACAACAAGGGTTTGTTTGCAAACCTATTCAGGCAAGTTCTATCTTCCTCTTTCCCTTTGAGCCGTGTTCTGTGCACCTAGATATGCTCTAGGGTTTTAAGGAAATTAACAACTAAATCATTCATGTATGTTATACATCAAATTAATCATATGTATGCTTTGAATTATTTCTGTGATGATTTCTGCAATATCTGTTACAGTGCATGCAAGTTGGTTCAGTTTTATGTCCTTTAAGCATGAGGGTTCTTGTCATAGTTTTTGTCTCTGTTTTTATTGCAACTACTGTAAACTAAGTATGGAAAGATTACGGGAGTTATGTAAATCTCGTAGGATGGTTGCTATTTCTGTTTTAGATCTCTGTTGCATTTTGCTTCGTTGTAATCCATGCATGAGGTTTCAGTTTTTGCACAAGTTTACTTCTATTAATTGATTTAAATTGCTATAATCAAACCTTGGGGATGCTATCAGGAAGGTGTTAGATCCTTTAGATCAGTTTAAGAAACAAGCAGAGGGGTAGGAATTGATCGGAGAAGGAGCAGATTGACGGAAACGGAGCAGAGATGAACTAGAGGCTCTCAAGAGGGAGAGAGCCGGCTCTAGAAAGTCAAGAGCCGGCTCCCCTTCAGCAAGAGCCGGCTCCTAGGGAATTAGAGCCGGCTCCAATAGGGGAAGAGCCGGCTCTTCCATTCCCAGAGCCGGCTCCAATTTGTTTTACGTCCAGAAAGTGTTTTCTAGGGCTCTGTCTGGTGTTTTGAGCACTGTTTGAGCTTTTGAGTGATTCTAATGAACTGTAGGGACTTAACAGAGGATTTAAGTAGTTAATTCTAAGTGTTATTAAACTTATTGTTGCATAGTTTAAGTCTCTAAGACAAAGGATGTAGCAGTGTAAAAATATACAACGGTGTATGCTACTAACAGAAGAAAGGAACTAAATGGCTTGATTAAATTTTAGAAATTTAATGAGACTTCACGGAGGGATTAAATAGTTAATTTTTGGGTGTTATTAAGACCCTAAATTAATTTAAGGTTAATTCCAAATTAATGGATCAAACTGTATAACACTTATGTACATTGTATACGGTTAGTGGATAGATGAAGTTTTAAATACTTAAGCTTATTTTTAGGCATTCCAGTGGGATTTAATATATTTATAAAATGGTTTTAAATATATTATAGGGTCATTGATGTGTTAGATGTGATCTATGCAGGCTCTGGATGTTAGTTGTTGATTTATTAAATCATCTCCTGCAACTATATGGTTAATTGTTTGGATTTAAATTGCTGAAACATTTAAAAATCTTCTGTAATTAATTGGATATTGGTATTGGATTTTAAATTGCTGTACTATCATTCATAGTCTGTAATTTACATGGTTTTGCTTTTAAGTTGTTGAAACACTAAATACTATTCTGCAATGATATGGATGGTTAGTTTTGGACTATAAATTACGTGCTTATTATTTATGCCTTGTAATTTATCTGAAATTATGTATTGGAACATAATTGGTGAATTCTTATACTTAATTCGGTTAATTATTTGGAATCATATATTGGATTATAATTACTGAATTCTTATATTAAATTTGGCCAATTATTTGGAATTATGTTTTGGATTTTAATTGCTGAATTCTCACATTAAAATTCTATCAATTATCTGGGTTTGGTTTTGCATTGTAAATTACTTGCTTATCATTTGAATGTGGTAATTTACATGGATATGGAGGATTGTATGCACCGGTATGGGACGGTGGCATACTAGGTATGGTTTAGCTCAAAATGCTAATTCCTACCTTATGGATTTTAATTGGTGAACAGCTTTGCCTGTTCTATCAATTATATGGATTTTGTGGATTGTATGTACCGGTATGAGACGGTGACATACTAGGGACAGACTGATTCAAAATACTCAGTCCTACCTATTTTGGGAAGAAGGGTACGAATTATAAAAAACATAATTCTCCTTATATTTAAGTCTGTGCAGTTGAATAAACTGAACGACTTACTGGATCTCTTATATAAGTCTGTGCAGCTGAATAAGCTGAACGATTTATTGGAGTTCCTATGAATGGATTTGAATGGACTTTAAATATATAGTTATAGTACCACGAGATGAGCTTGAGTCTCAGACTCGTTGGTTAGGACGCGTATATACAGTGGATGCGTAGCTAGCTATAGTAGGTTGAGGTGTACCCTGTTAGGTCTAGGAACTCATGCCCACCTTT